ATTTTTTGCCGGAGGGATTTTCCGTCCTGATGCTTACGGCCTTGCTGAGGAAACCAAGTATCAAACTACTGAGGTCAAGGGATTGGCGAAGAAAAGTAGAGTCGAACAGAGGCTGGAGGAGACAGAAAGGGAGTTGGTTTTCCAGAATCAACATATCACGCACCAACACTGGTGATAGCGACCATATCGTGGCTTGTCCTTCTCCCTCTGACAATATGGTCTCAATCACAAAACAACAGTCAAGCAACATCATTTGGACGAAGTCATCGCTGCGCATCTTCACTTCTTCTGAGTAGGCCATACGTGCTTGCCGCTCTTTCTCCTTGATCAACTTGAGGTAGTCTTCCAGGGGCTTCTCGGGGTTTCGGCCAAGGAATTTGTTGAGATAGTGCCATTTGAGGTGGTCCATGGCTTTCAGGTGAGACTCGTGATGGTGGAATGGGCCGAGCGAGACGATCGTTGGCTCGTATGCCTTTGGATCGATCCCTCGCAAGTGTGGCAAGACTCTGAAGATGGTCGGCTGTTCGGTGCGCCAATCCTCCTGTTCTGTTACCTTCAAATTGTTCTTCAATGAGACAACCCAGTCTGGATCTATAGGTATCTCAATCTGCTCCCCGGCAGTACTCATGTTTCCAGTCACTCCCCAGCTTTTCTTTTTCCTCCTTTCTTCTCCCCCAACCTTTTAAGGCCTCTTCGAAGTTTTAGTTCTTTTAGAGAAACGGAGGGATTTCAAGATTTATTGCATTCATGAATGTGCGGGCAAAATTTCCACCCAATAATTGTAGAGAGACGGCGAGTCTAAATTGCACGCACGCTGGCTCTCACCATCTCTGATCAAAACAAAACAATGCAGAAAACCTACATATAAACAGATTCAATATAATTCTCTGCATATACATCTCACTCATCCATCGACTTAATTTTTAAAACTTACCATTAGTGTACTGTGAACGTGAAGATTAAAATTATATCTTTTGAAATGTCTTGAATTAATTTATAAAAAGCTGATAAGATTGAGTCTGGTTTGATAAAGTATTAAAGTTTTAATAACACAAAATAGATGTGAATACGATAGTAGATGATAATCGTATTCTAATTTAATGTGTCATCCTATTCCTATAATTTGTTTACAAAATAAAAATTAGAGAATTTAATTGATGAAATGAAAATGAATTACTCCAAATATCAAAATGTTTACTGGCATGAGCAGGAGTGATCATCTAATCAGCTACATGATTTTATTCGTGGAATACAAATATTATTTTACAATATCTTAGGCCTATAAGTAGATATGGTATATGTTCCTATTATAGAAATTTAGTTTTTTAATCTATAATTGTTATCATTTCTAATAATTATATGATATATCTATAAAAATTATATTATAATATGAGAATTCAAATGACCTATTATTATTTTCACAAAGCTATAGAAAATAACGATTTTGAAAATGTGATACGATGCAATGAAAAAAAATTAAATCAATAGACCAAAATTATATTTGAAAACTTATCAAATTACCTAATAATTATAAATAAGTCAATTCTAAATTAATCTTTAAGAGTAAACATGACTCAAATGATAATATTAGATAATAAAACTAGATTTATTACTTACTAACTTTATTCTAAGAATATGCTCTTTAATCTTAGATTGTAAAACCATACTAAATGGGTTAACAACTAATATAGTGAAACTTAAAAAATTAATTGACATACTTAAGTGAATATTATTATTATTATTATTATTATTATTATTATTATTATTATTATTTATACTTAAAGTTATTTATTTTTGTTATTCTATTTATATTTATTTATATGCATATTATGGTTAAATATAATAACAAGATTATATTGACGAAATAAATTAATAAAAATATTATAGATTGTATTAAGAAAGACTAATAGTATTGTGATACAAAAAAGAGATTATGACATTGATAATATATAATCACTATGATTTACATTGATAGTCAGATTAAATGTGATATTATTATTTATATTAGACTTATTGGCATATTTTATAAAGTTCATACATACGTATAAAATATTTTTTAAAATTTCAGAATCCAATTAGGTAAAATTATTTTAAAATAAATTTTATTTTATTAATTTTGATTTTGAATTATTTTGTTTATATCTTATCAGTTAATTGGCCGAGTGAGAAAAATATTAGATTATATGACCCTTATTCAATTAGTTAAGATATATTAAAATTCTAATAGAATGAAAGTCCACTTATATTAGGATTTCTTGGGATATGATTTGATGGGAGAAACTCTCTTAATTATCTATCTAGATCCTTTGTTCTCGCTTGTATATATATAGAACTTATGAGAGATTAGATTATAGATCATAGATTTATTCTCATATTCTTATTAATCCTTATTCTTCCATCAATATCATGGTCTTATAAAAGATGAAAAGAGATAAAGAATAAATGTCTATTTTCCTTCTTGCAAATCAATGCTGTTGTTTCATACAAATCTGACTACAATGAGTTGCTAGATCAAACAAAGGTATTGTATCATAAGCATAAGGTACATAAACTATGTTCTTTGAGGTACATAAACCTAATCTATGTTTTTTTATTTTGATTTTGACATTATGTTAGTCCACATAACTGTGTATTTTTATGCCAATAAAAAACATACTAAAATGCTGATTAAAACAACATCAATAAATGAGAAATGTTTGCATGTAGAGAAAAAGCTAAGATAGAGATGTGACACAAAAGAGATGGGTTCTAAAAGCTAAGTTGTTTTGCTTACCGTGAATCATGTGCGCTATATAGACTGGAGTAAGTGTTTGGGAGTGGGGGAATGGTGAAGACATCGATACCTTGCCCCCTGAACTCTATATTTATACAGTTGGTAGCTTTCTTGTGCGAGGGGCCACCCAAGGAAACATCCTACGTACTAAGCCACACTTTTGTCTATCAAAAGACTCGACTCTTGTATCACTTTACAGCTTGCTCCGTCTCTTCGGCTAATCGCCTTGTGATATTTTTTTTACGTACGTATTTGTATTTATAATGGTAGATTACAAAGAAGTTATGTGCACTAGCTAGGGAAGTCCAAATTCACATAATTCATAATATATAATATAGTCACATAAATATATTAGTTGCTGCTGTGTTATAGACTAGATTTACCATATCTTTATCAATTGGCATTTAGTCAGGTATTAACTAGAAACAAACTATAGAGAATATATGCTGCTTCCATCCCACTCAATGGATCGACCAACTTTATCCTGTCCTCGGCCTTAGCATGTCGAATTAACAGGTTGCTTCTACTATGAAAAAGGAAAAGAGAAAAAGAAAAAGAAAAGAAAAGCAACAACTCTCACAAACTTGGGAATGCCAAAGTTACAATCTAATATATTCCATTTATGTTCCCAGGAATTGTATGCCTTGTGTGGCTCACTTATAATTTAAGTTGCAGATCCACATGACAGTTGGAAGACAATTAAAATGCTACATTGTGTCCTGTTCAATCTCATGCGGCAACATCTCCTCTATGCCACCCGTTTCAGTTGGCATGAAATCCCATTTCTTGCTGAAAAAGAATATTGTTATAAAATTGTATGAAAAGATGGGAAAATTATTTGTACGATTTTGATGAAAAGAAGTTACTATTTGATCTTTTTCCTAATTGCGCTTGTGATAAAAAAAATTATGATTAGTTGCTGCTTCCTTTGCCTTAATTAAGAAACTAATATGCGTTTTCGTTCATATGAGTAGCTTTAACACGGTTGGGAATTCGTATGAGATGAGCCCTGCAGAGGATTGTAATGTGTGAGAGATTGCAACCGCTTGCAACATCTTATCATCTTTATTATTTTATCTTATCACTTTGCATTAATTAACAATTGATATTCTATGTAGAGAGAAGAAAGAAAAAGAAAAGGAAGAAAATTAAAGAACATATATTGGGGATTCAGTTTAATATCATATGAATTCAGATCAAGCGCAAGAACATTATATTAGGTATGATTTTGAGTTCTCTTACATTTATACCATTTTGATTAATGTATATGACAATAGATATTGATTTTGATGTTCTTAGTTAATTTGATATTTACACTATGAAAGAAATAAAAGAAGGAATAATGGTTATATTAAAAAATAAGAAAAGAAAAATCACATCAAAATTGATGTGACATAAGTTATGTCTATGCTTCCATTATAAAAATACATTTAAAGCTTAGTTGTTATGAAAAGTATCGTAAGCATGTTATGTGATTTGAAATGCATGTAAATGTTATGTCTTTGTAAATTTTATAAGCATGAAAAAAGTATTTGATATTATATTTCGAAAGTATGTATTAAATGTATAAAGAATTCATGTGTTTTAAAGAAAATACTTATTTATGATAAATCTGAGTCACGGTGCTTATTAAATTGTGGTTGCTCATATAATTATCTTTTAATTGTTTAGATGAGGAGTAGCTCATTTGTGATTATAGATCCAAAGACAATTAAGAGTCTTGGACACTATTGCATATATGTATATATATATATATATGTATATATATATATATATATATATATAT